TAGCAATTCCTGAAATGCCCTCTCCATACCTGCCAGTGCTCTGCATTTGAAGTTTGCACGAACAAGGGTTCTTAAAAGTACCCAGCTTGGAAAAACATGGCCATTATGTATTTCTTTCTCAATCTTCTCTATCCCTTTCACATTTCCTCCCTTTGCATAACACTGAAGCATCAAAGAGTATGACGTTTCATTAGGCCTGAAGCCTTTCTTTTTCATGTCTAGAATGACAGATTCGGCTGCTTTCCAGTCCCCATGTCTAGCCAAGGCATTCAGAAGCGCATTGTAAGTTGTAGCACATGGCATGAAACCTACTTTAATCATCTCCTCATACATTTTTGTAGCCTCAATTTCTGACCCACAACAGCCATAAGCACCAATCAAAGTATTAAATGTGTCTCTGTCAGGCTCGAATCCACAACTCTTCATTTCCTGAAAGACTCGGTTAACATATTGGTGCATACCCTTTTTACCACACATTGTGAGCAGTGTGTTCCATGTGATACGGTTAGGGGAACATCCACTTGATTTCATGTCACAGAGTATCTTTATCATCTCCTCTGATCGTGACTTTTTCCCTAACATTCCAAGGACAGCATTATAAGTGCACACATTAGGTACACAACCTAACTCTTTCATCTGATCAAACAATCTTAAAGCCTCATCCTCCTTTCCTGCTTTGCCATAGGCATTAATAACAGTTGTATATGTAACAGCATTCGGCATCACTCCTTTATGTGTCATTGTCTCAATGACAGCAACCCCTTCCTTGTAAAATCCAGCTCTCACATATGCAGCCACAAGCTCATTGTAAGTTACAGTGTCAGCTGGACAGTTATTATCCTCCATCTCTTTCAAAATGCTCAAGGCCTCTGAATAAATCCCCACCTTACCAAAAACTTGGAGCAATGCATTATAAGTCACCGTCCCAGGTACATAACCTTGGGACTTCAACTTTGCAAAGAACTCTTTTGCTTCGTTCAACAGACCTTCTCTCCCACAAGCAGTTATCACAGTACTGCAAGTAAACTCATCAAATTCGAGTCCTTTGCTTCTCATTTCATCCAGCAGGATTAAAATCTTATTCCAAGACCGACCCATCTTCCCATAGACATCAAGCATGACATTATAAGTGACTAAAGTAGGAGAAATGCCAGTCTCCTTCATTCTCTCAAACACAGAGACTGCTCTTTTGTACTTGTGAGTACGAGAATACACATGAAGAATGGTGGTGTATGCTCGAACATCAAGAGAATAATCTTGCAGGGGAATTTCATCGAGCAGCGTGGATGCAATTGAATGCTGTGATTCTCTCCCAAGAATTCTAACCATAAACCCAACAACCTGATTGTCTATTTTCACCTTACCCGACTTTATATTCAACACTAACCATTCAAAGAATAAAAGGGCTCTTTCCCAATTGCCAGAATGATCTAGTGCTTTCAATAAACTAAAGATGTCAGCTTCAAACAGCTCAAACTTGTTAGAATTGAAGAAATCATTCAAACTATGCAATGGCTGTTCCAGAATTGATCCAGTAAAAACTTACCCTTTCTTGACAAAAATTCAAGCGACCCATCTCCCGATTGACCCTCTTCCTTACTGCTCTCAAACTGCAGGACGGAAACCGAACTGGGTTTCCCGTAATGGACATCTCGATGCTGATTTTGACTAGAATCAACAGAAATATGAAGAGTAGCCAACTGGGCATTGTTGCTCTGAGGTGGATTAATGGTTTTCGGCCTGCGTATAGAATTGGGTGGTGAGGAGATATGGAGGAGGTGTTGGAGGAGAGAATCAAGAGGAAATGAAGGAGGAGATTGGGATTGAGGAGGAAGTGGGAGCTTGGTGGAACTGAATTTCAGACGCGGGTTTGGGCACGTTGGTCTGTTCACTGGGGCTGGATGAACTGGTTGATTGTGGAGGATTCTTCCCTCCATTTTCG